ATCCTCCAAACATTTTAAGGAGGAGCTGAAATGTTTCTTTTCTTAATATCAAAGACTCTAAAGACGTCATTTTAGAAAATTACAAAGATCAGAAACGTAAACGTAAGTTAGAAGAATTGAAAACAGTGAAGAATATAGCCGAGGATTTGTTGAAGAAAATCAACGAATAACGACAAACAGCATTGAGTAGTTGCCAGGCAGAACTTCAGAAAAATTACGATCAAAATAAGAAGAAACTGAACACTACTCAGTAAAGCGAATACCCTGAAATCTCAGATAGAGGAAGATAGTCGACCTATGTTTTCTCCCCCCGTGTCTGACGTCCTTAGTACTAACTATATTGCTAGAATGTGGCGGCTGTCTGATTAGCCTATTATATCTCTACCCCCCCCGTGTCAAATAATGGTTGGACGAAAGATTTAATGATTAAAGGGGTGAAGACACCATATCCAGATAAGTTATCGGACCTTTTATTGGAACTCGATGAGGAAATCCATCTGGACTCAAGAGAAACTGTTGACGAAGAACTGTTCGACGACGTGATTGACAATGAGCCTGAAGGATTATCGATTGAACACTTCGCCCACAGCGTTTTTGACGAATTAGGCCTACTGTGATTCAGAGATTTTCAAATTGTTAGTTTTATTTGTTTCATGCATGTTCATGTACTAGTAAATGATTTATTTCGATAGGAGTTTTAACAACTACTTGATATTGCTTATGACATGATCAATGAGATCTGTCTTTCCATTTTGACCTTTAGTGACCTTTGACCTGGATTGCCTCAAAGAATTGGGACTTATAGAAAGTGCCGATTCACACTAATGGGCTTTCGCCAATTTCTAGATGATATCAATGAATTTGTACACATTTTGTAGTTAAATTCTCAATTTTTAACGTTTTTTGCGTTATTAGACCTTTCGTGACCTTTGACCTTGAATAACTCAAAAACGCCCCCTGGCCCGACACATTACCTCCCAGATTCGGATTCCTGAGGAAAAATGCCTCTAGAAAAGTTAACTCAGATTTTGCCCCCTCTCGGGTGACAATACCCCCCTTCTCCCTCTGGTCTAGTAGATATTGATGAGATCTTGGACAAGTTAGAAATTGGCAATAATCGGAGGAACAGTTTCAGACTTGTTGCCCTTTTGTGTACAGCGATGAGACATTGTTCATTATTTGAATTTGATGAACTGTTTCAGGTTTTTGCCTTGACTTAAAGATTATTTGAAAATTCTTTATTAAGCCACTTAATATTTTATTATCATTTCTGACAGCTGGTAGTGGGCATATGTTACATTGCCTGGCAAGCTATCTTTAGTTGATCCAAATAATGTGGATACTCTACAGCACAACACATGGGTGAACATTGAAAAAAATAATCTGCTTTAGAAAAACTAAGTAGTTGGTAAAGATCAAATTTGGTTAAAAAAAAAAAAAAAAAAAAAGAAAAAAAAAACATGGCTGACAGGTAAAAGTGGGAGGAATTTGCTCTGTGACAAATGACTAATAACTTGTGAACCAGTTGTTTCTTTTGGATAGTTTTTGGACAATTATAATACAAGGATGTGCTGATATCATAGGGATAAAAATAATTATTCTGAGACCAGAGGTTTTTGAAATATTGGGATGTACATAAATTCATATAAAGTATTGAAGGAAGTTTTAGTGATTAGGTGTAACAAGTGAGAAGAGTAATCAGGAGACCAGATTGTTTAAGAGTCTGACTTAAGTGAACTTATTTAAGAATTGTAAGCTGTGTATTGAGCTGTGTAGTGAACTGTTTAATGAACTGAGCAAAATTAATTGACCATTTATCACCAATTTGAAATTTAGCCAAAATAGAAAATAAAAAACAACCTGATAGTGATAAACAATCTACTAAGAGAAACAGACCAAATTCATCTAATGGTTCATCCTTGACTGAGGACTCAATAAATATGGAAGATATTCATGATTCTACTGTTTTTCTGAAGGAGAATATGGTGACCAAAAGTGATCTTGCCCTTTTTGTGGCAGAGATAAAAAATACAATCATATCTGAAGTGAGGAAGGAAATGAAATTGGATATAAGGCAGCTGGCTGATAAAATTAACGAATTGACTGAAAAATATGATGCTACTCTTATTGTGAACGAGCGCCTTCAAAAAGAAAATGAAATACTGAAACAAGAGCTAAGAGAAGTAGACAATAGAATGCAAACCAATACAAACAGAATAAACAAAAGTATATGTATGTCTACAATGAACACTACTCAAGGAAAATGAACATCTGAAAGTCAAGGTGAAAATCTGTGCAATAAGTTTTGTGGAATTGTCAAAAGACTAGCAGGTGAAGAGTTAGCCATATCTGAGATTGTAGCCTTTCACAGACTACCATCAAAATTCACAAACTTACCAAGACCAATCATCTGTAAATTCATAAACTCCGAAACAAAGAGTAGAATAATGAAGAATAAAGGGGTCTTTTTTTGAAAATGGTATAAAAGTCTTTGATGACGTTACACTAAAAAATGCACAACTGATCAACAGACTACGTGAAACAGAGGGAGTGGAATCGGCATGGTATTTTAACGGAAGTGTATATGCAAAGGTTCAGGGAAGAAAAAGAACAAAGATACACTTATTTGAAGGATGTGACAAACTGTTTAGTGCCGATATTGATACCCGTAAACCTGAGGATAGACGAAGTAGAAGAACACGTGGTGGATATAACTCTTCCAGCCAAACTAGAGAATCTGTACCTCAAACTTTTTAGACTATAAATGTTACAAATCGAACGAACTTTTGACAACAAATTCTAATAACTAGCATTCATTGTAATATTGATATCAATTAAAACTGATAATGTCTTCTGAAAGTATATAGGTAAGCCACACTAATTACTTGTTTCAATAATATTTAATGTTTTAAAAATACAGGGCTGTTGATTTTTGAAGTTCTCAACCAGACATTGTAACACCAAATTCAGATCCTTGTTTAAATTTTCATTGAGAATTCATGAAAAATCCTGAAAATCTAACACATTGGCATGAGAATAGTCTTAAAGATTAAAACTGATTTCAGACTATTATAAGTTTCAATCAGACATGACTGGCAAATATATATACTCAGAATCCCTGATTAAAACATTGTTTACTATGTAATTACCAATAGATATCTTTCACCCGTATATGGTGATGAACCAGTGTAAACTGATAAATATTGAATTGGCATCCTTTTGAAAACTCGTATGATATTTTATCAAATCAAAGGGAATAACACCTCTAAACTTGTTAAATATAACCACTATTATAAGTCAACTCAGTAGATTGTAGTACTGGAAAAGTCTACGATATCACATACTATTACTTTTACACAAAACATATCTTAGATTATAAGAATTTGTCAATAGAGCAAGATTCACAATCGCATACCAACACATGGTTGTTAAAATGTATATATTTATTTATTATTGGACTATATTTGAACACATTGTTAATATCACAGTTTACTTTTTGAAATCATTACATTGTATTCTAACTTTGGATAATTTCTTTAATTTAGTACGAATAAGACTAGAAACGAAAATTCAATTATCTTTTAGGACAAAACAGATACAAATTTTAGAATACTTTATTTTAACTTGTAATAATGAGTAGTTCGTTAAAAATTATATCACTGAATTGTCGTGGTTTAGCAGAGAAAAAAAAACGTATTGATTTATTTGAATACATTCGAAAAAAAAAAATTTGACATATGTTTCCTCCAAGATGTTCATTGGGAAATGAAAGTTGTAGAAAGAAGTAGAATGGGGTCAAAAAAAAAGAAAAGCTATGCAAAGATTTGAAATTAATATGGGAACAAGGAAACTTTAAATTTTAGGGATAACGTTTACAACTGTTTTGGAAGATATAACGGAGTTTAACTTCAGAGAAAAGATAAATAGCACAAAGAAACTATTGGGCATGTGGACATGGCATCCATTAACAATAATTGGCAGAATATATGTTATTAAATCTCTTGTTTTACCCAAGTGCATATAGTTACTATTATCCTTACCAAACCCAAATAATCATGTATTTAATGAAATAGAAAGTATGTTTTTCAAATTCATCTGGAATAACAAGCCAGACAAGATAAAAAGAGAAATTATGAAGCAAGGTTACCCAAATGGGGGATGAAGAGTGCCTGATATTCAAATTTTCAATAATGCATTAAAGATCACTAGGATTAAACGTATTTACACAGGAAATGAACGTTATGCTTATTTCACAAACAAACATAAAAATTTCAAAGTATTTTTATTCTCATGCGGTTCCACATACTTGGAAAGTTTAAAATCTGGTTCTCTGGTAGTGACAAATTTTTTATTGCGTGGCAAATCTATCCATTTGTCACGCTTTGTTTTTATTTTTTTTTTGGGAATGTCCCTAGACAAAATCGAAACACCAAACATTTTTAAATGACCTGGAATCAAAAATGAATATCTAAAACTCAATTTTTGCTAAACCGGAAGTGTGCCATTGCATAATGTGCAAATATTTTGCATCAAATCTGTAGAGCTTATTTATGAACCGATTTACCTGAAATTTTCTTTAATATGTTCATTGCTACAAGACGTATCAGGTGAATTCAATTTTTAAATATTTTAAATTTGAATCTAAAATTTTCGAAAAAGCTCAAAATTTCTAACTCAGCCGCTAATTGTCCGATTGATCTGAAATTCACAGGACATATACAGAATGTGCATACAAATAACTTTCTATCACTTCCGGTTTTTGCGTGAGAACTTCCGTTTTTTTTAAATCACGCCTGGTGTAAATTTCAGATGTTGGCAAAAACCATATATATTGTCTGTCAGTCATAATTAGAATGCACTTAGCAGAAAAAATCCAAACTGGAAGTGATGCATAAGCAGTCGCCTCGGACTGACCCATTTTAGAAAAAAATTAATTAGTCCTCCATTTTTTATCTGATTTTTATGATTTTGGTGTCTATTAAAACCTTGTAACATTGTCTACAGTTTGTTGGAACAGAATTTTGAATTTCGAATTTGAATTTTTTTTATATTCGTTTGAATTTTTTGAAAATTCAAAAGGCCACGCCATGTGACCTTGACCTTCGATGACCTTGAAAATTTCACTGTAGGATGTTCTTGACCTCAGCTATCCACAGGTGTACTCATATTGGTTGAAAAATATTAACTTCCGGTTTAATAGCCATTCAAAAATTAACATTTTTGACAACTTTGGACGGCTGTTTGACCTTTTCTAATAAACACAGAAAATTATTTTTTTCAATTTTGTAATTCCCTTTTGATTATCTTTTCAATGATATATGACAATAATCCATTAAAATATGTTTTAAAAATATTGGTTTTTTTTTCGACTGAGGGTTCTAACTTTTTTTTTTTCGACTGAGGGTTCTAACTTACAATGAAATTAACTCCTAACAATATGGTTTGTATATTCAGTATCTACTCAATTTTCCCCTTTCAACGATATGTGACATGGGTGGTTTAATACAAAATTGAATTTATGAAAATAGGCATAAAAGTGTTAAATGTTTACAAAAAATATGTGATAAAAATCTGTAGATTGTGGGGATTAAAATGATTGACAGGTTTTATAACAGGTTATATAATATGATAGGAAAGCTATCCATATGAACTTTTGACATGCAGGTGAGAAGTAGTTTGGGTCTTAAACAGATTAATCTGATTATGTAATCTTTTAACACTTAAAAAAATAACTTTTTTTTCCAATTTTTTTCTTCAATTTTCACTTACAATAATTTAACATACCCTCATATAGAGAAGTGAATTTTTGATACATTAACCTGTTCGAATTTGTTCTGTACCATTAATAGAACTCTATCTGCAAGATACACACAACAGTTTTGGTCATTGGTGTTAGTTAGGCTGAGGGAATAAAAGGAAACAGCGGGCTGTGTCTAGCAAACACTGACCGTGGAATCAGAATACAGAGTGGGATTCTAACCCACAGCACTTAATCGCCTAGCAGGCACAAATTCAACTGGCTTCCGACTGCGCTAATCCTTACCAATAAAAAGAAAGTGGAAATTTTATCTTCTGCTAAGATTATTATAGGTCATAAATAAATTAATCTAATTACACTATCTTTCAACTCTATAATAATTCACTGTTTTTTTAAAAAAATGTTTGCAAAATTTCCCCTTTGAAATAAAGTCTCAGGTTTTTTATGACGTTCGCCAGTATTGTCTGGACAAAGTTAATGGCATAAACCGCGATCCATTTAGAATCTTTGTTACTGGTTCAGCTGGTACAGGTAAATCTCACCTTATCAAATGTATTCAATACACAGCGTCTCGAATTTTTGTGAAAACTGCGGAAAGTTTAGATGACATCACTGTTCTCTTAACCGCACCAACTGGGGTGAGTGCTTTTCATATTGGAGCGTCAACTATTCACAGCAGTTTTTCAATAAGAAAGGGGTTCTCATTTCCACCTTATCTACCATTGGGACAAGAAACTATTAATACATTAAGATGTGAATATCGCAACTGTAACGCACCAGTAAAGGGATAGGAAGAGAAATGTTCTACTTCTCTAAAACTCTGGGCGTCAAAGAGTAGTACTTCTTGCCAAAACCGCAATATGGTAGAGTTAAAGTGGGCACGTTACCAGCTTAAAAGTGGTATATTCGTGACAATCATCCAATACAGCAACACCGGAACAGGAACCCCAAGATGCGATGTAAAAACACACTAATTCAACAAAATCAGGTTTATTTACATTAAAACATTTAACTATATATTATGCATAAAAGAAATACAACATTGACGTACAATATTGTGCCGAAATAAGTCGGTCTTGGTATATAGAGATCAACCAAGTTGCCTTGATGCTCTCTACTCAGCCTTAGTGTGAAGACAATTTTCATGTGCCACGACTGAGAGGGGTATTCACTGAGAGGGGTATTCGTTATGTTACCGTGAGTGCTGCCGTTATGAGAGTCAAGTCTATTGTTGCGTTTTAGACGTCGTAGACTATTGTTCCCTCAATCGACAGACCCAACAAAGAAGTAGGAAATAGAGTATAAAGAATATTGAATCAAAATATAAATGGTTTGTAAAAACAGAGGTAGACATTATTTTAAATAATAAAACAAAGTACAAACATCCAACAACAATTTTAAAGGTCATCAAACATATGAATACACATTTAGAAAATAATAATTTTACATAAGATGCTTAATTAGCCTAATTATAAAATATATATCTAAGTCTGGCAGATAACAAATAATACGTATGGAAAACGACAAGGTAGTCTAGATCATATGAGTACCATAACGGAAGTTGTTTACAACTATTAATAGACAATTATAAGTATTTTAAAACATCGATAGAAAATGTTTAAAAAGCATGACACGGCAAACGATTCATGATAACGGCTAAAACTATCGTTTAACTTTGCAAGAAATAGTATTATCGTTAAATTAAGTGTTAATTTACCTGAG